TCTGTGGAGGAAATTGGGTTTGTCTGGTATAAGTGGGACTTCTCTGGAGGAAGTTAGACCTTTCTTGAGGAATTGGAATTTCTCTGGAAGATATGTGTTTCTCTGGAAGAAGGGGGGTTTCTCTGGAGTGTGTGGCTTTTCTCTGAATGACATGGGACTTTTCTTGAGGAAGTATGGTTTCTCTGGAGGAAGTTGGATTTCTCCTGAGGAAATGGAACTTCTAAAGAGGATGTGGGACATCTCTGTAGGAAATGGGGTTCCTCTGGAGGAATTTGGCTGGGACTTCTCTGAAAGAAGTGGGAGTACTCTGGAGGAAGTGGGACTTCTCTGGAGGAAGTGGGGTTCCTCTAGAATGAATGGGGTTTCACTAAAGGAAGTGGGACTTCCCTGGAGGATATAGGGTTTCTCTGGAAGAAGTGGGACTTCTCTGGAGGATGTGGGTATCATGGGAGGAAGTGGGGTTTCTTTGTGGAAGTGGGACTTCTCTGGAGGAAATAGTGTTTTTCTGTTGACAGTGGGGTTTTCCTGGAGGAAGTGAGACTTCTTTAGATCAAATGGGACTTCTCTGGAGAAAGTGGGGCTTCTCTGGAGGATGTGGGGTTTTTCTGGAGGAAGTGGGAGTTCTGTGGAGGAAGTGGGACTTTTCTGGAGGAAGTGATTATTCTCTGGATGAAGTGGGACTTTCCTGTAGGAAGTGGGGTTTCTCTGTAGGAAATAGGGTTTCTCTGGAGAATTGGGACTACTTTTCAGGATGTGGGACTTCTCTATGGGAAATGGGTTTTCTCTAGGGGCAATGGTGTTTCTATGGAGGAAGGGGGACTTCTCTGGATGAAGTGGGCCTTCTCTGGAGGAAGTGGGGTTTATCTAGACAAAGTGTGGTTTCTCATGAAGAAGTGGGGCTTCTCTGGAGGAAGTGGGACTTCTCTGGAGGAAATGGGATTTCTCTCGAAGATGGGAGACTTTTGTGGAGGAAGTGGGACTTCTGTGGCGGAAGTTGGGTTTATCTGGAGGGAGTGGGACTTTTCTGGAGGAAGTGATTATTCTCTGGATGAAGTGGGACTTTCCTGTAGGAAGTAGGGTTTCTCTGTAGGAAGTAAGGTTTCTCTGGAGGAAGTGGGGTTTCTTTGTAGGAAGTGGTCATCTATGGAGGAACTGGGGTTTTTCTGTAGGAAGTGGTGTTTTCTGGATGAAGTAGGACTTCTCTGGAGGAATTAGAGTTTCTCAGGAGGAAGTGTCATTTCTCTGGATGAAGTGGGACTTCTGTGGAGGAAGTGGGGTTTTCTGGAGAAAGTCGGACTTCTATAGAAAAAGCTGGATTTCTCTGGAGGAATTTGGGTTTCACTGGTGAAATGGGTTAGTTTCTGGAGAAATTGGAACTTCTCTGGAAAAAGTGAGGTTTCTCTGGAAGAAGGCGAACTTCTCTGTGGAAGTTGGACTTCTCTTGAGAAAATGGGGTTTCTCCGGACAAACTGGGACTTCTCAGGAAGAAGTGGAACTTCTCTGGATATAGTTGGGTTTCTCTGGAGGAAGTGGAACATCTGTGGAGGAAGTGGGGTTACTCTGGATTAAGTGAGACTTCTCTGGAGATGTGAGATTTCAGTGGATGAAACTGGGTTTCTCTGGATTAAGTGGGACTTTCTGGAGGAAGTGGAACTTCTCTGGAGGAAGTGGGGTTTCTCTGGAGGGTGTGTGGTTTCTCTGGAGGAAATCGGACTTCCCTAGAGGAAGTGGGATGTTTTCCAGAGGATATGGGACTTCTTTGGAGGAAATGGGATTTCTCTGGAGGCTATGGGGTTTCTCGGAGGAAATGGAACTTCTCTGGAGGAAGTATGGTTTTTCAGAAGGCTGTAGTACTTCTCTGGAGGAAGTGGGACTTCTGTGGTGGAAATGGGGATTCTCTGGAAGAAGTTGGACTTCTCTGAAAAAAGTGGGGTTTCTCTGGAGGAAGTGGTGATTCTCTGGATGAAATAGGACTTCTTTGGAGGAAGTAGAGTTTCTCAGGAGGAAGTGGTCTTTCTCTGGATGAAGTGGGATTTCTGTGCAGAAAGTGGGACTTCTGTGGCAGAAGTGAGGTTTCTCTGTAGGAAATGGGGTTTCTCTGGAGAATGTTGAACTGCTCAGGAGGAAGTGGGACTTCTATGGAGGAAGTGGAGTTTCTCTGGAGGGTTTTGGGTTTCTCTGAAGGAAGTGGGACTTCTGTCGAGAAAATGTGACTTCTCTGGAGGACATGGGGTTACTCTGCAGGGTGTGGGGTTTCTATGGAAGAAATTGGACTTCTCTGGAAGAAGTGGGACTTCTCTGGAGGAAGTGGGGTTTCTCTGGAGGAAGTGTGGTTTCTCTTGAAGAAGTTGTACTTCTCTGGAGGAAGTTTGGTTTCTCTGGATAAAGTCGAACTTCCCTGGAGGAAGTGGGCCATCACTCGAGTTACTGGGAATTCTTTGGAGGACATGGAACTTCTCTGGAGGAAGTGAGGTCTCTCTGGACTAAGTGGGGTTTCATTAGAGGATGTGGGACTTCTTTAGAAGAAATAGGGTTTCTCTAGAGGAAGTGGGATTTCTCTAGTGGAAGTGGGGTTTCTCTAGAGGAAGTGGGGTTTTACTGGAGGAAATGGGGTTTCTCTGGAGGAAGTTGGGTTTCTCTTGAGGAAGTGCTACTTCTCTGGATGAAGTGGGACTTCTCTGGAGGATTTGGTGTTTCCATGGAGGAAGTGGGGTTTATTTGAAGGAAAAAATACTTCTCTTGAGAAAGGGGAGTTTCTCTGGATGAAGTTGAGTTTCCCTGGAGGAAGTGGCACTTCTCTGGAGGAAGTAGGACTTCTATGGAGGGAGTGGGGTTTCTCTGGAGGAGGTAGGGTGTCTCGGGAGGAATTTGGATTTCTCTGGAGAAAGTGGGACTTCTCTGCAGAATGTGGGGTTACTCTGGATGAAGTTGGTTTTCTCTTGATTAAGTGGGACTTCTCTGGAGGAAGTAGGGTTTTCTGGAAAAAGTCCCACATCTATGGAAGAAGTAGGGTTTCTCTGGAGAAAGTGTCGTTTCTCTGGAGGAAGTGGCATTTCTCTGGATGAAGTGGGATTTCTGTGCTGGAAGTGGGACTTCTGTGGAGGAAGTTGGGTTTCTCTGGAGGAAGTGGGGTTTCAATGGTGATAGGGTGAGTTTCTGGAGAAATTGGAACTTCTCTGGAGGAAGTGAGTTTTCTTTGGAAGAAGTGGGGTTCCTCTGGAGAAAGGGGAACTTCTCTGGCAGAAGTCAGGCTTCTCTGAAGAAAGTGGGGTTTCCCTGGGTGAAGTGGGACTTCTCTGGAGGAAGTGGGATTTTTCTGGATGAAATTGGGTTTCTCTGGATTAAGTGAACCTTTCTGGAGGAAGTGGGACTTCTCTGTAGGAAGTAGAGTTTCTCTGGAGGAAGTGGGGTTTCTCTGGAGGCAATGTGGTTTCTCTGGAGGAAGAGGGACTTCTCTGGATGATGTCAGGTATCGCTGGAAGAAGTGGGTTTGCTCGGGAGGGTGTGGGGTTTCTCTGAAGGAAACTGGACTTCTCTGGAGGAAATGGGACTTCTTTGGAGGAAATGGGCTTTCTCTGGAGGCTGTGGTATTTCTCTGAGGAAAATGGAACTTTTCTGGAGGGAGTGTGGTTTTTCAGAAGGATGTGGTACTTCTCTGGAGGATGAAGGACTTCTGTGGTGGAAGTGGGGTTTGTCTTTCCTGGAGAAAGCAGAGTTTCTTAGGAGGAAGTGTCATTTTCTGGATGAATTGGTAGTTCTTTGGAGGAAGTGAGACTTCTGTGATGGAAGTGGGGTTTCTCTGGAGGAAGTTGGTTTCTCTGGAGTAAGTGCAAGTTCTCTGGAAGAAGTTATGTTTCTTTGGAGGAAATGTGACTTCTCTGAAGAAATTAGAACTTCTCTGGAGGAAGTGGGACTTCTCCGAAGGAAATGGAGTTTCTCTGGAGGAAGTTGGGTTTCTGTGGATGAAGTCGGGTTTCACTAGAGGAAGTGGGACTTCTTTGGAGGAAGTGGGCTGTCTCTGGATGAAGTGCTATTTCTATGGATGAAGTGGGGTTTCTCTGGAGGCAATGGGGTTTCTCTGGAGGAAAGTGAGACTTCTATGGAGAAAGTGGGACTTGTCTAATTGAAGAGGAACTTCTGTGGAGGATGTGGGACTTCTGTGCAGGAAGTGGGCTTTCTTTGGAGGAAGTATGGATTCTCTGGAGGAAGTGGGACTTCTATGGAGGAACTAGGGTTTCTATGGGGGAATTTGGGTCTCTCTGGAGAAAGTGTGACTTCTCTGGAGAAAGTAGAACTTCTCTGGAGGAAGTGAGACTTCTCTGGAGATAGTGGGGTTTCTCTGGAGGAAGGGGAACTTCTCTGGAGGAAGTGTTGTTTCTCTGCAGGATGTGGGACATTTCTGGAGGAAGTGTGACTTCTTTGGAGGAAGTGGGGTTTCCCTGGAGGAAGTGAGACTTCTCTGGAGGTATTGTGACTTCTCTGGCGGAAGTGCGGTTTCTCTCGATGTATTAAGACTTCTCTGGATGTAGTAGGGTTTCTCTGGAGGAAATTGGATTTCTCTGCAGGAAATTGTAGATCTCTGGAGAAAGTGTGACTTCTCTGGAGGATGTGGGATTACTCTGGTTGAAATTGGGTTTCTCTGGATTAAGTGGGACCTTTCTGGAAAAAGTGAGACTTCTCTGGAGGAAGTGGGGTTTCACTAGAATAATTGGGACTTCTCTGGAGGATGTGGGGTTCCTCTGGATGAATTTGGACTTCTCTGGAGAGAGTGGGACATTTCTGGAGGAATTGGGACTTCTTTGGAGGAAGTGGGACTTCTCTCCTAGAAGTGGGGTTTCCCACGATGAACTTGGGTTTCCCAGGATGAAGTGAAACTTCTCTGGAGGAAGCGGAACTTTTCTGGAGAAATTGGGGTTTCACTAGAATAAGTAGGACTTCCCCGATTGCTACCGGCCCCAAGTCTCTGAGAGACAATGCGCCACCCCAAAGCTGTAACCAACCTCCAATCTGGGCCATGGCATTCCACCAGCCCTCTGCTGAAATAGGAGCAATTCGGGTCTTATTGGTCTCTATTATCTAGTGAGTCAAAACACTGGTAAAATTTACAAAAGACAAGGCCCACCAGCACTGAGGCGGTTGACCCTTACAGAGACATTAGCATTTCAAAGAAGATGATACAAGTGAGAGCAGGAGGCCTGCGACACCAAACACTAATGCCAGCTTGTTCCTGAAGTAAGGCAGTTTGCTGATTTAAGTTAAGGAGTCCAAACTGAACATGAGCATTCAGGCAGGACATTCTGCTTAGCTAGAGGTTTGCTGATCCTGCCCGCCAGCTGGTTAACAGCGTCTGCATTGGCTGCGGACTGAGCGACACCAATCCCTGCAATGAAGGCAGCAGTCGCCGACACAGCATTGGCAGAAATGATGGCAGCAGTAATATCAAAGTCCCTTCTTGGTGGTAGAGGATAATTTCTTCTCCCCCATGTCGGTCTTCCATCGCCATGGGGCGAAGACGGGAACTCGAACTACCAGGGCACCGGTGTCTGTCGGGGGCCAGCAGTTGCTCAGGAAGCAGGTTCTGGAAGAACAATTGAGAGATTTTCCCTCCCCCAAGGACCCATTACAGGTGGAGCAGTGTCCCCAAGGCAAGACCTATGCAAGTCATAATTTTCTGGGGATCTTCCAACCTAGGGGCCCAGATGTAGGGGCCACATAGCAGCATTTTCCTGTTCCCACTGGAAGTTTATGGTATAGGACCTCTCTAAGTCCCAAGCAATTGCTCATGCTGACATTGGAGTGAAAATCAGCAATGGAAGCATTACACAAAGCTATGCTTGACACTGAGGATGACCCATTGGGCAGTTGAGAAACATTAAGCACTCTCGGGAAGCAAAGGCTCCCGTGTGTCAGGAAGGTCAAATTACTCAGTAATGAAGTCTCCAGCAGCACATTGGAAGCCAGTAGTCCCAGGGAATGATTGGTGGAAAAGAAAGAGGGAAACAGGGAGCTTTCCTGACTAACTGGCATCAGGACGTGGGGGTTCCTCACCAAGGCCCAAACCATCCATCCCTCTGTGGGCCAGAGATTCCAGTAAAGCAGGACTAGATTCCTGATCAGGATCCACAGGGTGAACATGTCATTCTGGTATCCAAATAGGTTTCTCTGTTCCTGGGGGAAATACACAAACAGCTGCCCCTCGGACCCTAGCTAATAGGGGGTGGTGGGTGGTTGCCATTGTTCTGTAATTATGCCTTCCCATCTGACCCATCCCAATGTTTGAGAGAGTTTGTTCCAATGCCTCTCTATGGCAGACAAGTTATTTTTATCTATAGTCAAAATTTTTAAATATAAAGCATAGTGGATAATTGAGAATTGGGGAAGGTCCTATATTCCCTCTTTTTTATTTTATTAAAATATTGTTTAAGGGTGGCATGAGTGTGTTCCACAATGGCTTGTACAGTAGGATTGTGTGGGATGCCAAAGGAGTGATTAATATGATGTTCCTTGCAGAAGGCCTCGAAGCGATGACTAGCATATACGGGGCCATTATCTGTTTTTAAGATATCAGGAACACCCATATAGGCAAAGGCCTGTAAACAATGAGAGATGACATCTTTAATCTTTTCTCCAGAGTGCAGAGATGCAAAAAACCGCCCTAGAATATGTATCCAGAGAAACATGCATATATTTTAATTTTCCTGCTTGAGGCAGGTGAGTGACATCCATTTGCCAAAGATTGTTAGCCCTTAGTCCCCGGGGATTCACCCCCTAATTGGGAGAATTATGATAAGGGGTGCAATCAGGGCATCGAGAATTAATCTGAGTGGCAACAGGTAAGGAGCAGTTAGTGTGAAACTTAAGAAAGCATGCATTTAGGTGATACCACTCATGAAGCTGGCAAGTGTGTTGCTCTGTAAGACCTTCAGAATGAGGAGTTTTTCAGTTTTGGGCGGTACCCCCAAGAACTCAATGGCCAGTCCAGTTGCTGTAACACGCAAGAGGCTTTAATGAACAGGAAACGTTTGCGCAAATGGGCTCCCTCAGCACGCAGGCTAGAGAGAAGCTCCCTCCCCCGGGCACAGGTGTCTTTAAAGGCAAAACCCACAAGCTTAGGGAGGGGGTGGGACCCTCTGTCCATTGAGTACATGACCCTTGGAGGCTGGATGCTCTTCTATTAAGGTCAACAGACCTTAGGGCCTCAGGGTGTGCTAATTAATCTTGTCTGGGCAATCCGGAGTTGCAGCTATCTCTTTGTTTCCTAAGGACCCTATTTACCACCTGCTGACTCACAGAAAGGAGGGGCAGTGTGAATTCTTGGTATCCTGATATCTCAGGGCCAGTGGTTAGCAAATTCCACCCGGAATTCCAATTATTTGGGCTTCATTTCATTTCTTTGCTAGTTTAAGTCTTTCAGCTCCTCTGTGAACATGACTATTGGGGGCCTGGTTAAAGAATCAACAAGTTGATTGCCTTGGGCAAGGGGTCCTGGAAAGCCTGTATGGGCACATATGTACCCCACAAATGCAGGGTGCATTCGCTGCCAGATAAGATGTTGAAGCTTAACTAAAAGAGAATGAACTTGAGAGGTGGGAAGGACATATGGAGAAGTCTCTAATGGCTTTACAATATTAGCAACATAAATGCTAACAGCAGAGGGCGTGACCCTCACGCCCTGACTCAGGAAAGGGGGGGCCCCCAAATCACTCATGAGAAGCAGGCTTGATGCAAAAGCATGAGGCCTTTTATATTCCAGTGCACTGGGGTCCACAGCCATACCCCACGTGGGATAGAGGACTGGGAACCCTGGGTACAGTTCAGACAGCTTTTATAGGATTACAACAAAGCCCGCACATCATAAATCAATCATCTCATAGCATCCAGTGCGGACCAATCAATTTGAACTATCCAAGCCGGTGCTTAGCCCAGGAAGTCTGCTTTCGCTAGGGCTTCTGGGTGGTGTGACAAGGCTCATTTCCTGTGTTCACTCACTCACAGGTGCTGTTGTAAACAGCCCTGTCGTAAACAGTCAAGAATGTGACCTTTTGCCTACTCAGTGCTAGGGGGCAGGGTCCAGGGAGAGTTAGGCTAAATTTTTCTATCTTACACTATCAGTATATAGATTAAAAGATTCTTCATCAAACAACTGAAAAGTCACTATGCAAGCAACCAATTCAGCAGCCTGGGCAGACATTTGCCCTGTAGGTGTCCTCTATTGCATTTGACTAGAAACTACTACAGCAAAACCCTTAGAGGAGCCATCTGTAAACACTGAGCACAGTCCTTGAAGGGGGGGGGGAAGGGCCTCCTTTATAACTGTAAGACCCTCAGAATGAGGAGTCTTCCAGGTTCGGTCAATACCCCAAGAACTCAATGTCCAGTCCAGTTGCTGCAAAACGCAAGAGGCTTTAATGAACAGGAAACGTTTGTGCAAACGGGCTCCTCCAACACGCAGGCTAGGGAGAAGCCCCCTTCCCCAGGCCCAGGTGTTTTTAAAGGCAAACCCACAAGCTTAGGGAGGGGGTGGGACCCTCTGTCCATTGAGTAGTGACCCTTGGAGGCCGGATGGTCTCGCTCTTAGGGTCAGCAGACCTTAGGGCCTCAGGTGTGCTAATTAATCTTGTCTGGGCAAACCAGAGTTACAGCTATCTCTTGACCCTATTTACCACCTGTTGACTCACAGCAAAGGAGGGGCAGTGTGAATTCTTCTCTCAGGGCCTTGTGAGAGGAAGCTAGCAAATTCCAAGAAACAGATATTGGTTTCTAGGTTAGTCCATCATTAACATTACTTTTTAGGTCTTTCAATAACCTTAGGAAAAATTACAGGGTGCTGCCTAAAAAAAGACAGCAAGGGGCTATTTGGGTAGAAGTTATCAAATTTAGCTCCTTTAGATGTGATAAAGAGCATCCATCCATCATGAGAGGTCTGCAAATGCTCAACCTCTTCCTTGTCATAGGGGAGAATAATCTTATCAGGGGGCTTTTCAAAGGTCTGAATGCTAAATTTATGCGCTTTCCATAACAATTGCAATACCAAATCATAATAGGGAGACACCACCTTCTTAGGGGAGGCTGACAAATGAATCCATTATATGGGGCCACTTTGCCAAGAAACAGCAGTGGGTGAAAAACTAGAGGAAATTGCAACTACAACAAGAGGCTGTTCATAATCTAGGCCGCAAAGATGGGCTATTTCAATGCTTTTTAATAGCAATTGGATGGCCTCTTTGGCCTCCTGTGTAAAATGTCTGGGAGAGGTTGGAGCTGGATCCTCCAGAAGCATATCATATATTGGTCTAAGCTCCCCTGTTTTAATGGAGAGAGAGGAGCGGATCCATTGAACATCTCCCAAAAACTTTTGCCAATCATGAAGAGCTTTTAAATTTGAACAATCTATTTGGAGCCCTTGAGGCCGGAGGCCGGTCTGTTGGATTTGATGGCCTAGATTGGTGTAAGGAGGTTTCTTTTGAACCTTCTCTGGGGCCAAAATAAATCCGTGAGCCTCCAGGATCTTCTGCAATTTAGCAAACACTTCAAGACCTCTCTCCTCAGCAGGCGCTGCCAGCAGAATATCATCCATATAATGGCTAATGTAAAGATCAGAAAACTTGCTCCTGATAGGATCCAGGCAGGCAGCCACATAAGCCTGGCATATTGTAGGACTATTAGCCATCCCCTGGAGGAGCACCACCCATTGAAGGTGAAGGGTGTGTTCCCGGTTAGAAAATTAATTAAAGGAAGGCTAAATGCAAACCTGGGGCTATCTCAGGAGTGCAGCAGAATGGGAAAAAAAGCAATCCTTTAAATCAATAATAATTAGATGCCAACTTTAGGAATAACCACAGGAGAGGGTAAGCCAGGCTGAAAAGTTCCCATAGGCTACATTGTTGCATTAATGGCCCTCAAATCCTGGAGCAATCTCCATTTTCCTGAAACCTTTTTAATTACAAATATAGGGGATTTTCAGGGAGAGATGGAGGGGATCACATGTCCTGCCTCCAATTGTTCTTGAACTAGCTGGGAAACCACCAGAAGTTTTTCTGCGGTTAAGAGTCACTGTTCCATCCACATTGGATGTCAGAAATCCAGCTTACCTAGCCCTCGTCCTTTGTCCCAGCCGGCTTTACACATCATCCAGAGAGTTTTGTTTCTTGGTGGAGTGCCTTGGGTGAGGGTTTGGGTAGTAAGGACAACTCCCATCTCTTCTAAGAGATCTATTTCCCATAAATTAGTGGGGAGGCTAGCCAGGATATAGGGCTGGAAGTAAACTAAACGGCCCTCAACATCTTTCTAGTCAAACCAAACTGTTTTCTTAGACTATTACTATTTTGATGATGAAAGCTGTGTGACTGCTGAGCCATTCTACCTGAGATAAAGCGACCATTTTTGTCAGCCTATCAGCTGACTCATTACCATCAGCCAGTGGGCTGGGAAGGTTTGAATGAGCTCTTATATGACCCACAAAGCAAGGTGCCTTTCTTTGATGAATGGCACTTTGAATTTGCT